AAAAAAAAAAGGGGGGGGGGGGAGAAAAAGGGGGGGGGAGGCTTGTGCGTAATGAAAAATCTAGTATTTCATTCTTTTTTGTGAACATACTTACAGTTGGAAAATTTTGTTTAGCATAATAACTTATAGGTGGCTAAAAATCTGGCATAGGGTGAAAAGAAAAATACAAACAAATGGGGCTGTGTCACTGTGGTTGGGGGATGGTTAAAGACTCTTTAGAAGTAAAATAAAAAGAAAAGATGCGACTTATAATTCAGAATTAGTTAACTATAACGGCCTGTATTTAATTATTAAAGAATACACGTAAGTTTACATGATTAAAAAAAATTTAAATACGAAATGCGTTGAGAAATAATATACGCACCTGAACTGCACTTTTACCAATTTTTGAATAAAAGTCTTTAAGCTAATTCAGATTGATCAGGTTTAGGGTTCATGTTAGGTTTCGGGATACATTTAGGGTTCAGGTTTGGTTTAGGGATACATTTAGGACATAAGTTCGTGGGTCACGATAACCAAGATGGCGGCCGCGGGCTGATCTCTCCGAATTGTTTTTTATTCAAAAAAACATCTGTTTCATGGGAAGTGTGAATAATAATAATAATTTTTGCGGTGAATTAAAATTCAAGTATCCACTTCTGATACCGGGTCCGAATAGTCGCAGCCAAACTTTTCATTACAATTACAGATTATATAGTAGCCAACTTGCCGCCAAAAAAAAAGCAACCTTGATCTTGAATGATGTCATGTTAATGATTATAGAACTATTTTTAAAATAGAATTAAAAAATACAATAAAATTATAAACATGAACGTATTCTTACTTGCTTTAAGCTGAACGTCACAATGTTCTTCGTGTTTCTTCAACGCTATTTGAACTATTTGAAATTCTTCAAAATGTGGCACATTCACATTTCTCGATTTATAATAATGGCTCTAAGTCTGATGGCAAACCAACAGGAAGTATCCGTCATAACCATCAAGTGACCAACCGATTTAATAAAGACCTCACGTGACCAGCTGGGTCCGAATAGCTATTTGCCTAGGCACCTCGTTTCTGAAAAACTCATTGTTTGTGTTATGTTACCATGACAGCAATATTTAAAAAAACACATTTAAACTTACGAATAAACTACCTTATAAACATTAATCTTATAAAAATTGCTTAAAATTTAAAATTTTATTTGCTTTAAGAATTTTTAATTTTTTTTTAAATATTAGACAAACGATTTTATTTTTATAAATTATTATAAATGATAAACTTTCTTCTCTGGCTTTCCTCAAAATAAAAAGTTCAAATGTAAGGGAGAGAATTCATTACTTCAGAATATCACATTAAAAATGGAGTATACCCAAGATTCTTATGTACCGGTACTCCTATTCTAATTCTAATTAAACTTTCTTCAGTTGTCAACACAATTATGGATACTTCAAGATCGCCCTTGACTCCTAGAGGGGACAAAAGGGTGATATTCCTTGCCAAACAAATATCGGAAAGTAAAGACAGAAAAGTGCCTAGTATTCTTTTGGCACTAAGACGTAAGAAAGACATGTCATTCATTAAAAAATTATAAATTAAATTAATCATAAATTAATTATAAGTAAATAAAATAATTATCGGGCAGTAGGTTTGAAGTTCAAATCTTAGTCGTACTAGTAAGAGTGTGGCTAATATAATAATAATATTGATTATTTATCCTGCACTATATCACTAGGCACTAGGTTTGAAGTAGGTAGTCCAAACTAAAGAAAAAATGCGTTTTAGGGTCATTTTTCGAAGTTTTCAAAAAAATAATTAATCCTCTTCTAGTAGCGATACAGCAATAAAATTTATATGTGAATAAAGTTTAAGTCTTTATCTGGCGAAATGTGTTACTTGCATGACTGTAACATGTGTTTGAAAGTGTTTTTTCTGTGTTTGAAAAGTATCAGTTTTGACCAATTTTACGGCGTTTTTGCGAGTACCGGTTTACCCCAAGGTGTTTCAAACGCCCACGGCTACGCGTCTATTTAAGTTATCGCAATAATTCTACCACCATAAGAAAGAGCAGATGCTGTCCTTTCGTTTGATGCATAGAAAGTTTATCTACCTTGCTTATTTCATTTTGAAAAAGCCGGTTGAAAACTTTCGTATTAAAAAAATGGTCGAAAACATGGAGATATTAGGACACTCTTTACACCGTTGGAAAGATCAGGTCTTTAACTATTTAATATCACGAGATCAAATGAGTGGGCATGATTGACGCGTAGCAGCGATGTTTACAAAAACACCCCCATTTCCAGTTCCACACCGCTAGCACTAGACGCCTAACGCGCGCTTGGTGACTAGTACTAGTACCAGCGTTATGGCGGTTGCTTTTTTAGCCATGTTGGGGCTTTTAATCAACAAGTAAGTAATATAATTAAATTTTCATATAATGTATTAGTATTAGTGAATGTAAATGTTGATTAGAAGTGAGTTAAACTTAATTTGGTGTCGTCAGCTATATTAGATATATTTTAACGAATTGTAGCTATTGTGAACTTGACTAGGAGATATGTTGCCGATCGGACCAAATGTATTTAATTGAGGACAGTCTAGCGATAAAAAAAATTGATAGACATGTCGCAGACATGTTAATGTTTGATCTTTCTTATATTTTATAAATTCAATTTTAAAATAAAGATAGTATTGTTGATTTCAAAGAGGGTTTCTGTCCGATCGAGAAAATAAAAATGGATGCCGGCGAGTAAACATTGGGGTGGACCGACTTAAATTTTTATCTGGGGTAGGAGGGTTCAAGTGAATAAAACATTATACACAGCAAAATAATTAAACAAATAATTTGTAAGCTTATCTTGACAATGAGATTGTGAAGCATTTATTAAAACTCAATGAAACGTATTTCTGAGTTAGAATTGTTTCAATATTATTTCATCTTATACTCACTAGTACTACCGGTACCTAAGGCCTATTGAAATGGACTCGCCCAGTTCTCTCAATATTTAGTTTTTATATTACACCTATGAATACTTAAAACAATGTTGTATGCTCTCTAAGTTTAATTGTTCATTCCACAGCGGAGACCCTGGGTGCAACATTGTGGCTAGAGTTGACAATTGCTATTGATAATGCACTTATCAAGCTACTGGGGAATAAGACCAACAAGATTACAAATTGGTTACAGAAGCTTACCCAGTCACCCCCCAGTTGATAGACCAGGCATTTCCCTGACAATTTAATTAAAATGTATGCTCAATTGCTTTATATTTTTGACAATACTCTGCATTGATATTTTTTTTTATTAGTCTTTTAATTAATAGTAAACACATCTGACATCATATTCCTTTGATTTTATCACAATTATGTGATAAAATGCATTTTCTAATCAAATTTTTTAAACCTTCATTTTAAAAAAAAACGCTAAGTGAGTACTTTTAGACTTATTTTAGTGCCTTTAAGTGTTTATTGATGATGTTAAGGCATACTGCATGTTGTTCTGCTTAAAATTATCTTTAATTTGATGTATGACATATTTATGTAAGTCAATAACAGAAATTTTAACAAATTTTTGAAAATGTGTATTTTTACACTTTTCCTGTCAGAAAATAAAAATGACTAAAAATCATTATTGTTATTTTTTATTTTTTAATAACTTAAGAATTAATAGATCTGGCTGCTTGAAAAAAATTGGGCTTAAATATTGTAAACTTTGGAGCACATATACCAATTCCTGGAATTCTCTGTTGATTATTTTAGAAAATATAGGTCCTTAAACATGGGACTTTTTCACAAGGTAAAAAAATCCATTTTTGGTCGATTTTCAGCAAATTTGAAAATCGCATAACTTTTTTGTTTATTGAGATAACTACATGAAATAAGTGGCCTATATCTTAGAATAAAAAGTTCTATTGGTGAAACTCACCAAATATGTCTGCTATGTATAGAAAATTTTAGTTTGGACTACCTATTTGAAGTTTAAATTTAAATCTAAGTCTAAGACTAAGTCTTACTAGTAGTAAGAACGTGGCTAATACTAATAATAATAATATTGATTATTAAATAGCCCACATATTAAATAAATTAAAAATACTAATAATTACTAACACTCTACTCTAGGTCTACGTACTTCACTAAAAATTTCAAAGTTGTCATATATTATAATTAAACTTATAATACTAAGACTTATACTTATATTTATATCATTAGAAAGGACTCAGTATTTCCTTTCCAGTGAAACCAAGTTTATTTTTCTATCACTATCTTAATTAGAAAAAAAGTTATTGCATTTTTAGTGTCAGAATTGTTCTTTAATTATATAGTCTATATAATATGAATATAGTATATAGCCTTAGTAAATAATTTACAAAAGTCAAGTCTGTGATCGAAAAAATACACCCTTGACATTCAAAATGCTGATAACTTTTTAGTCAGCAAAGTTAAAGTTAAAGCCTTCAAATTTCCAATGCATATCAATTACCTATTGGGCTTTAATAATAAATCATTGTTATGCAAATACTACTATAAACAATAAATATTAATGCGTGGGACTTGAACAACAGAGGGTACGTAAATTTCATTAAAAATGTATTTTTTCGATCACAGACTTTTGGAAATTATTTACTAAGGCTATATAATTAAGGAAAAATTCTGACACTAAAAATGCAATAACTTTTTTCTAATTAAGATAGAAAAATAAACTTGGTATCACTGGAAAGGAAATACCGAGTCCTTTCTAATGATATAAGTTTCATTAACATAATATGACTACTTTGAAATTTTTAGTGAAGTACCTACTAACACCTAGCCCACTATATATGTAGGCTAGCCTTAACCTTAGTAGTTTATTTTAAACCCCATGCCCACTCTTTTTTTTAACCCCCACCCCCCCCTTTTTTTCCAGATCCCCCCATTTCCCCCCCCCCCCCCCCCATAAATTCTAGAAATAACAAAATAAGCAAATTGCAAGCAAAATGCCAGAAATTTTTTATGACTAAAATGAAAATGTGCTAATTATTGTAAGCAAAAAAATATATTTTTGTTTTAAATAATCAGGGCTAGTTTTGTAAATTTGAAATTGTGCAAATATATGAATATGAATTATATTATTATTATATGGGGAAAAAATTTATTTAACGTTGCTCTCTACCACTCCACCCCATCATAAAGCACAATAAATATATATATAACAAAATTATAAAACTTGTATCAAATAAACACAGAGCCCAAAAATTGAAATTGAAAGCTTTTGAATATGGAACTATGGCCAGTAGTTGACTTGGGTTACCTCTATGACCTATATACTGTGGAAGACATCCCCAGCTGTACTGCCAACCCAATCCTACCCAAAAATGAAATAACACAATTAAAATAATATGTAATTAATCCCAATTAGCATCACAATAATATTTCTTTACAAATTTATAGTGGGGAAAAACGTATAGCTTAAGTCTAAGTAGTCTATGTTTCATTTAATTTTATTATGACGTTAGAAGCAGCACATTTAATTTAATCTTGCAAACAACGATGCACACAGGCAGATATTAAATAAGCGCTAAGTGACTAGTTTTGAAAATATTTAAATTTATAGAAATAATTTGAGTAAAGATCTAAGGCAGCTAGAATCAAAAGGTTTATAAGTTTTCATTAACATTTGAACTAGTAATAAACAGTAATTTCATGGTTTGTCATATTGTCTGAAAGAGTACATTTTCTATTTTTAGGTATGCTTGAAATCAAAACTATGATTATGCATGGCAAGTGAGCTCTTCCTTTAGTTTTGTTTGATTGCAACATTTAAATTTAGGGTTAATTTCAACAATATTTAGGGTTAATTTCAACAATATTTGATTCTCCCAGCCCTTCTGTTGGAATCACCAGCATCAACTCAAGCGGGAGTAAAACTGAGACAAGAAATATGGGAATACAACTTACTTAGAGTTCTTGTGCTAGTTTTAAAGCAAGATTACAGTATTATTGATGGACAATGGGAGACTGCTGCAGAACTTGCCATGGTTCTCAGGTAAGGCCATGTATATGTTGACTTAAGTTTACCAAAAACTATTTCAATAAGCAAGTATTTTATTTTCTTCACCACTCAAGAAAATATATCCAATTTCGGAGGAATGCTGAGTTCACAGAATGTTACATTTTGTTTGTTAAAAGTTATTAGGAACTACCGAATATGGGATTATATTATAAACAATACACGTAAAAGATCTGCAAGTAAAGTGGGTTGGAGAGGGGGAAAATAATTTGCCAGTGTTGCATTTTTTTTCAGTGTCGCATTTATTTTATGGGCCAAAATAGCATCATTGATGGATGGCTCCAAACTATTATAAACCTTTCTTTTATTATCTTTATATTTTTTAAAATATAGCAATGCAACTTGTGGTTTGAATCTCAAAAATGTAGAACAACATCAGTTAGAAAAAGACCATCTGCCAAAGTGTGTTGAAAATATTTTATTGCTTGCTCGGCATCTATGTACCATCATGTCAGACACACCATTAACACAGGTGAATAACAGTTATTTCTATTGATAGACATCTAAAAATTTTATTATATTTTCTTGAATCTATTTCCCTAGAGCTCCTTCCCCGGGCTCCTGTAATATTTCCTCTCATTCTCAAGTTTTATGCACTTTTATTTTTTTTTTTACTACTCAGAAAAAAGAGAGTTCACAACTAGCCATCTCTTTCAAGGTGGTTTTAGATGCATTAGTCCGCTTGTGTTCAGGATACACATTCATGACACCATCGGGTAATGTAAATTTTATTAACTATTATATTTGAAATTTGACAACCCATTCAGCTACTTAATTCATTAACAGAGACATAAAAAAATTTAAGTTTAAATCTGCTTCCAGAACATTCAATTCTTTTCTTGCTACCTTTGAGCAATGCTAAATTGATAGTCTATACATAATGCTCATCCCTTCTCTTATGTGCATACATCCTTTCATTTTAATAATAGTTTAAATTAATTTAATGACACACATTTATTATTTACTTGAGGGATGACGGAATGTCAATGCATTTGTAAAACAATTACACAAAAACACCATAGATGATGTTTCTCATTAATTTTTTGCATGCATCCCTTCATCCCAGCCATATCATCTCAATGGCTCCTACAACTACTTGTTTCTGACAATGCTGTGGTCACAAATATCACCATGGAAACTATTGAAAAGTTTCTCAGATTGGATCCGTAAGTTTTTGTTTTCCAATAAAATTTGAATCTTGCTCAGTTAACTTTTGATGAACTGAAAGATAAAATCCTATTAGCGTAAAGCTGAAGATGCTTTCACTTTCTCATCCACATCTTCAGCATTAAAGTATAAGTGCCGTATTATTTCTCTAAGCATGGTTATAAAGAGGAGAGACTGCAATCTGGTAAGGTAAAAAGAAATAATCAAAAGAAAAGTATGGGTAAATCTGGAGAAAAAAAAGGACGCAACAAAACAACAAATGTGTCGGCATGAAGTTGAAGCCATCTTCAGCGAAAAAACAATGGTAAAAACTATATAAATAAAAATAAACATTTAGCTGCAATGTAGTATCTGAGAAGACAGCAAGAAGAATGTGATAGAACATTAGTAGGTGAGAGAGTTAATATAGGAAAAATCGGACAGAAGATAGTAAACTAAGTCCACTGCCATTGGTTGTAACAAGAGTGGGGCAGAGAAAAGGTTTAACAAATGAATGAGAACATGACATTCATGCCATGTGGTGTCAAGGTTCCATAAGTCTAAATCAGTTTTTTTTTAGAGTTTACCCAGTTTGGCGTGTTGTTACAAGACACAATTGCGGTGATAGCAAAATCCCTTGAGCCCTTGTAGTCACTTCTATTGAAGTGTCTTAAGATGGGACACTGCCAATCTCACCCAATATTACGAAGGTGTTCATTACATCTGTCCTAGAGGCTGCGTCCAGTCTCATCTAGATACGTCAACTGACTTCTTGCCGTCATGTTCGTTGTTTTATTACATCCTTTTCCCCCCAGGTTTTTCCATTCTTTACCTCTAAGCATGACATTCAATGGCCATTAGTTTTATTTCAGTGTAATCAAGCTAATGAGGTATGATGTTTGTGTATCTTAGAAAATCTAAATGTTATTCTCAAGAAGAAAAAGAGTACCTGTAACTGTAACAAAATTTTTTTATAGATTTGTTTTCAACCTATTTCTTGTTCACCAGGAATCTACTGAGCACCATTGAGGAAAATACAGTTTTCACTTTGTTGGATGAGCTGATTTACAAACTGACTGTAAACACTGATAGATCAATAGCTGTGTGAGCAGAATGAGTTTATAACAAAAACATTATTGCTACATATTTCAAACTAGCTGTCTTGGTCAACAACTTGGGCGAATGAAAGACTGTGATTTCTTTTTTACTGAGTCTTAAATTGTTCTATTTTGTCCCTAACTGCCATTTGAGTTGATGTTGATTATGTAAGTGATTATGATGATCTATGAAAAATGCATAGTAATATTTGTATGGTAAAAGAAGGCTTTTATTTCTAGAGCTGCATGCCGATGCCTCATCAAAATATGCGATAGTCAGGACAAGCTGGTGAAGTCCCTGTGTACAAGATATGTGTGAGTACAAGGAGATGACTTAGTTTATTTGGTTTCTTTAAATTCTTACTGTTTGAGGACAACTTTATAAAGCTTAAGAAATATACAGCTGACCAACAGTTTTTCAAATTTTTTGGTAAAACCTTTTTTTTTTTACCATGAACTTAAACAGTTGGCACTTTCGATTTATGACTTTTTAAAATACTATAAATATGTCACTGAAATTTTTGTTTGTTTTTTTCATTTTTTCCTAGAGGACTACGTCCCTTACTGAAGAGATGGGAGGGTAAAGGCTTTGACAGAGATCTACGTCATATTTCCTTCTTGTTGGAGTCTGGGTCAGCCTCTAAAGCCAAATCTCAGGTAAGAGAATGAAAATTTTGTTTTAAAAAAAGCATAATAAAACTTGCTAGAGAGAATGTAGCATGAAAAACTTCTGTTAAAGTTGAAGATTGTTGTTCATAATTTTTATATTAAATCAATAAATTGTTTTCAAATATTCACGTTTTTTCTGTTCGGTTTTACAATGTTGTTTCTTAAAATCTATTTTTATAGCGTCAAGATGAATGTGCACGCTACATTCAGGCTGTGTGGAAAGGCTATTCATCTAGACGGAAGCTACAGAGGGCAAACAAGGCCTTCTCAAAATTTCAGAAGTCATACAGGTATAAGTTATTTTCTATTTTAAATTTTTCCAGAGCTCTTTGTTGATTTCAAATCTGTTACTGTAGTGCATTTACTTTCAAATTATTTTTGTTTACATTTTATTAATGTTCGAAATACAATATCTTTACTTCATAGTTCAAAAATAACTAATTTTAGATTACAGAAGTAATAAGTCACCAGTAAGAATTTTTAGATTTAGTACAGGTAACTCTTTATTTAAGAACCACTGGTGATGATTTTGTGCATGTGATACGTGGAGAATGCAAATACAAGAATTTCATTTCAACACTTTATCTCACTCCAGGTTAAAGAAAGCCAAGGAGGAACAAGTAAAGCTCCAGACACAGTATCAGTCAGAACTTTACTTCCAGATGAAGTTGAGACGCCAGCAGCTGCTGCGCACGTTGGATGAGAGGAGGTTAAAGACACTGGAGATATTACCAGCATGTAAAATAATACTTAATTCTATTAAATTTTTTAAAAATGTAAAAGCAGTTGTTGGATTTAGTGAACACCATCCTCCATTGAAGTGGTGTTTACTTCTTAATAAGACCTGAGAACAATCTGCTGTTGAGAGTATTATCTACTATAATTTGTACCATACAAGCATTGATATATGAGGTTCACTTTTACACGGTCACATCTTTACACCATGAAAATATATTTAAAAAAAAGAATCTTATCTTATATATGGCTTCTCATATCAAAAATGCATTTATTTCAGTGCTACGCCTGTAATTATTTTTCATTAAGACCTTTAGGAATCTGTCAGGAAGTATATTCCAGATGATTCACTATTTGTCTGATAAAATAGGAATGATCTCTGGGCCACAAAAATAAACTATTCAATGCAAATGTCTTTCTTTTACCAAAGCTGAGATGAGACCAACTCGACTGAACCTCATCTGTACTTATTTATTTACATATCCAAGGACACCTGTTACTTGACTCTTTAACATTATGCAGTCTAACAACCCAGATAAACAAATAAAACAAATGCTGCAAATCTATGAATGTTAAGGGTGGCATTGTACTTTATTGAGTAGTTGCTCTGTATGACATCTTGCTTCTTGTAAATGTTATTCTAATGGTCCACAGCTCAAATAGAAAATTACTTGAAAAAGGAGAAATCAGTCGCAGCCACCCGTATACAGACGTTATGGAGAGGTCACAGAGAGAGGTCAAAGTTGACAGAGAGACAAAACATAGCAAAGCAAGTTCATGCAGCCATCATTATACAGAGAGCTGTAAGACTTTATTCTAATATTGATTTAACTGTGTTATTGTAAGTTTACTTCAAGGCATTGCAATTATTGAAATACTGACCTAGTTGGCTATCCGGACAGTCCAGTCCACTATAACAACACACCCCCCCCACCCCCCCAACCGAAAAATTTACAAGTCCAGTAACAATGGTGCTTGACATTGTCTTTGAGACCTTCTGGATATGACATAGTCTGAAGTTCTTGGATGTCGAGGGTTAATCTTCTTCTTAGATGGACTTGGAGTTGCTGGATGTGTAGACGGTTGATGACTCAGGGCTGCCTGAGCTGTTGGGTATAGACTTCCTGTCATTATATTCAAACTTGGTTCTAAATCTTCTTTTGCTCCCTACTTGGGGCGAAGGTAGTCTAAATGTCTCTTCCATATGAGACCATTAGGATAAATCTTCACCTTGAAAAGACGTGGACCCATAACTTGGATGATTGTACCTGGAGCCCATCGTGGTTTAGAGTCTGTTGTTCCATATATTCTGACATAACATGGATCTTCCCGGTTAAATGATTGACTAGGACTTCTATTTATCCCATTACGGTCGGCTATTTCTTTAAGATGCTGTCCCTGTGCTTGATTAGCAGGAGAGGGAACTAGATTATCAATAAGGGGAAACCCTGCCTCAGCATGTATCTCAACTCCTCCCAAAACATTAAGTTGGTCACCAGATGCTGAGTCGTACTTAACAGATACTGGGCTCAATGTGGGTTGTTCCAGCTTTCGCTTAACAGATTCAGACATAAAATTTTCTCTGGCTCCGGTGTCAATTTCGAATGCAAACCTCTTTCCTTCTAAAATTAGTTCTTGAATAATGGGTGGGATAGTTTTTATTTGGTTTTGCCTTCTTATTCTTTTGAGATAATTAAGTTTCTGTTTTGGAGCATTCTCTTTCTTATTAAGACAAACTCTTTCTAGATGTCCTCTCTTGTGGCAAAAGTGGCAAATCATGTCTTTATACTTGCAGACATTTCCTTTATGGCCTCTTACTCCACACCTGCCACAAGTTCCACTTGGAAAATCGTGTCTTTGAGATGGAGAAAATTTCTCTGCTGTCTGATGTTGCATACTTCTTTTTGTCTGAACTTTATTGATAGGAGTTTCATCATGGACCGTTTCTTTGGCACATTTTGCTGCTTCCTCTGTTTCAATAGCTATTATTACTGCCTTGTTAAATGATAATTCATCCTAAACAAAATTCTCAATACAGCTTTGTTCTTTACAGAACACACAAATCTAGTTCGTAAAGCTTAATCTAGAGGATTTTTTAATATTTTTATATTACCAAACTGACAAGTGGCTACATCCTGTCTTATTCTAGCTGCCAATTCTTTGATTGTCGCCCCTGGTTTCCTACTCAAATCAGACCAAAGTTTGAATCTTTCCCTGATCACAAATTTGGTCGGATCAAAATGATCTATCATTACCCCATATACGTTTTTCATGGTTAAATCATTTAAGTTTTGTGGTGGGTCTCTTTGTTGTACTAGCGTTGACAACATTTTATGGAGGTTTGGCTGTGTAGTAATGAGGAAACATTCACGGACTACTACTAGTATGCCCGTTGCTAGTTTTAACAGTAGACTCTAACTCATCCTGCTGAATCAGCCTTTGAATCATGTCCGTTTGGGTCAAATTTGACTACGCCATTGTGTGTATACCTCTCCAGTTACGTGAAGTCTCTGGTGTGTATCAGTCTAACACTAGTCAATTCTTGGTTGTACTGAGTTGTACTGGGTTGTATTGAGCTATACTGTTTTGCAGATAATGGCCACCATTTGTTATGTTTTCTATGTTTTTATTTCCAACAATAAACATTAACATAAATATACATAAATACAAGTTCTCAATAATGTTGACTTTCTGCTAGCTTCCGGAACACACTGCTCACTATAGTCTCTCTGCGCATGGGCTCTGTTTAACCTAGTTGGCTATCAGGGCGGTCTCGCCCGCTAGTCCACTATAACATTTGTAAACCCATGGCTACGCTTTGGTATTAAGAAATACAATAACCTCTGTGAAATATATAATTTAATCTGGATTTTTCAAATTATTATAATGTTCAATTTGCAACCAAAATTAATTTGATTTTTCTAACTTTTAATGTTACATATCTGGTTTCTTTCTCCACCATTTTTACACTTAAAAAATGTTGTAATATAAATATTTCTGATGTATATACAATCGTTGACTAGGAATAACTAATTATTTTAGTAATTACAAAATTTTATGCCATGAATTAAATTTCTTTTAGGTTTTTTTTTTTTTTTTTTAAGACAGTAAGAATAGTTTTAAATGTATTAATAAAGAAACTGATCTTAATGCTTATGTCTACAATCACATCTTGCTAGGCAGTATCAACGTGTTTCTTACTTTCAGTTCCGTAAATGGCTTGATTTTTTTGCCTTGAATTAATTTTTTTTTTGTTTTTTTTTTTTTTTTTTGAAGACAGTAAGAATAGTTTTAAATGTATTAATAAAGAAACTGATCTTAATGCTTATGTCTACAATCACATCTTGCTAGGCAGTATCAACGTGTTTCTTACTTTCAGTTCCGTAAATGGCTTGAGAAGACGGCCCTGTCAGAGCAAGCGTTCCCCACATACCTGAAACCCCAGGGTCTGACTGATGCCAGACGAACTGAGCTCATCCAGCAGATTGGACAATGGAAGGAGCAGCATCCGGTGGGTTGGGAATTTTTACTTCTTTATTATTGTAAGTAATTTGTGAACAACTTAGGATGGTATTTCTGAGAGATTTCTTTGTTCTTTTTAAATGTTTTACATGCCTTATGAGATGCTTATTTAGAAGTTAAGTGATGGTTTAAGAGCAAAAAAACTCAAGAATCTTATGATTTGTATGGAAAGCTAAATGTTTTCCTTATATAGCATTCTGGTGTGTAACTATTTAAGTCTAATTCCTTTAAATTGGAAAAATTAATTGCTTCAAATGTAAAAAGAGAGAATATCAAACGCACTTGATAAATAAATTTAGATCTTTAAAAAATATGTGCTGTTTTTTTCTGTTTAAATTAGGGTAATTTAAAATTTTAGATGTTTTAAAATCTTTATATTTGCTGCTAATTTATCTTTAGACAAGAATTGACTCGAGAGAAGAGCTTGAAGCAGTTCACAGGAGGGCCCAGGAGATGTTAGCAAGGCACTATCAGAGCATACGACCTTACAGGAAGTTGGAGTATCAATGCGAAAACCTGATGGCACGACTGGATACGGATATGGAACTCATTCAGTGTAAGTCTGGAAAAGTAATTGGTTTATTTAAGGAGGAATAAAATATTTTTACAGTTCATTTTATGCATTATTACTATGGTAATAAAAAAAAAATCCTTTTTGCATAAATTTATCAGTGTGAACTTCTATCTACAGTGGCACCAAACTTACAGGAGGTCACGCAGAAAGATGTTGACATGTACTCGAGTCGCTCTCTCCCCATTGCCACAGTTGCCAAGCAACAGCACAACCAAACATTGCTCAGGCTACAGCAGCCATGGTGGAAAGTCCTGGGCATGGATGACCTTGAACCAAATGAGGAGGAGAAGGAGAGGATTAGAGCTGAGGTTCATCTGGAAACTTTAGGGATATGAAATGGCTCATGTTTTAATGTACATAGTTTTGTTACAAAGTACTTACATTTGTATAGATATACAGTTCTCATTTGCCGTTATGCCATTTTTCTATTAAGAATAGTACAAGAATATAATAAATATATCCACATCTATAAATGGGATTACATTGTTGTAAGGAACAGTAGTTTTGAAAGGAGACAATATCCATTGTTGGTTGCTACACACCACATCCATGTACAGCATTATGATGTCTGATGTGTAGATAAGTTAATGCACCACATTCATGAACAGCACAATGGTGTCTGATGTGTAGATAAGTTAATACACACCACATCCATGAACAGCACAATGATATCTGATGTACTACACACCATATCTGTTTACAGCATAATGATGTCTGATGTGTAGATATGTTAATACACACCACATTAATGAACAGTACAATGGTGTCTGATGTGTAGATAAATTAATACACTCCATATCCATGAATATCACAATGATGTCTGATGTTTAGATATGTTGGTAAACACCACATCTGAGGTGCGGAGGAAGGAACCTATAGTGACATGACTTACATGTATTGTACCCCATCTATTTGTTATCATCTGCCTTTTTGCCATTTATATTGATGTTAAGCTATTTCCCTTTTTTTTTTAATACACCATATAACAGGTATTTTTTGGCCATGAATATTCCACTGATTACTATTAAAATGTGATACTTAGAATTAAAGGTTCAACTTTGGATGTTACTTAAATGCCTTTCATGAAATAAATGCGTACATTTGTTATAAATATGGCCATCCTCCTCTGTGGAGATCCGTCCAGTTACAGTTATATCATTTTTGTATTTCTTTATTAAAAAATCATTTTTATTTATGAAAACCAAATCTTTCGATTAAATAATTTTTGGAGTGTGATAGTGTGCTGGTAAATGTCATTTAATATTTTTCTTCTGGTTTTCAGTTATTGGTGAATATTTTTCATGGATTGGAAGCTTTATTTTAAACTCAAAACATTGGAGAGTGATTTAAATTCTTCATTTTCATGACACTTTTTTTTTTGAGGGAGATGTACCTGACAGGTTGTTTTTCCTGCAAAGTTTAAAAAAAAGTTAATGCTCATAAATTTGTTCCACTTAGTAATTGCTATTCTGAAGCATTAGTATTCTTCAACCATAAAGTTTTTAAAAAAAGGATTATGAAGTACTGCAACGATTGAAGTTTGACAGCAAAAGAAAAATGCCTGTTAAACTTTATTCTTATTTCGTTATCTATTATACTATTATAAAATTCAATTCTGAACGTTTTCTGCTGACAATGAGTGTTTTTTTTAAAATTGCTGTCCCATTTAAATTTAAAGCTTTGCCCTACGTTGTGTTTTTAAACCTGCCAGAATAAATCCAAATATAAAGTTAAAAATACTCAATAAGAAATACAGATTTAAAATTGCATTTTACTTTAAAAGTAAACTTGTAATTTAAAATCGTTTAAACCCTGGCAATACTTGAAAATAAATCAACGCAAATCCAGGCACTTTTGGTTGATGAGACTTGAATGGTGATCCATCTAAGAAAGGGGTGGCCTACCAATGTCCTGTGGATGCATGATTTATCACAATTAACTTACTTGTTCTTCGTTCAAATGACTAAGAAATAGGTTTTAAAAAGATAAGTGAGAGAAAAGGTAAAATGAGATCACATTAGTTTAATTTTTATCTGTTATATTATTTAGCATTTCATTCTGTTATATTATTTAGCATTTCATAATGTGCATTAAGTAGAATAGATAAATAATTATATAAAGCATTTAGTGGCTATTTTAAAAAAAATAATTTTAATATGAGGTGTAATGACATATGACCCATGAATGTTTTACTGGCAATCAAAGTGGCCTGTGATGCCTTTTGGGTTGGCCAACCCTGTTGTAAGAGAAGAAAAACTCCAACAACACAACTCTATTCCCTCTGGTTATTAACAACATGCCATTCATTTTCCTGTAAGTTAAAGACAACTAAAAGCTTTTTTTTTTTACCTGGATGAGGTGGGTGTTCTTACATCTGTTGAGTCTTTAGAATTATTTTGGTTATAGCCCAGCTCCATAACAAGGTAAACTGACCATCAAGGTTCAATGTATTAAGCTGAACAAGTTATAGTTATGCTCATTCAATAGTTTCTGATGATACGTAGAGAATAACCTTAGTTAATAAGGTAGGTGAAACTGCAACAAAAACAACAAATATTTAATCAATTGGTAGTATGTCGGTTGTAGAAATTACGGTCAATGCAAAGAAGAGATGCCATGTCATTTGCATGTTTTTGTTAAGATTATGTTTTGGATTCACTCCCCTTGTTTTTTGTTACTTGAGTTACATTTTCCTTAATATGAGGATGGCAAGTTTTGTATAATAATTTTATTGGTTGATTAATTATAATTTTTAAATTTCATTGGTTGGGTAATTATAATATTTTAATTTTCCGCCATATTTGAAAATGGATTATTTTGATTAATTTTCAATTAATCGCCAAAGGAGTCGGCACCAAGTGTACACCATACAATGAAAATCGTGGTAACCTAAAACTTAAAATTGACTCATTTAAAAGCTATGCCACTGTTTCTGTTGCAAACTGTCTAGTAGCACTCTAATTATATTTTTATGAAACTGACTCAAGCGAGCAAAATTTACCATTGGATGTCACCCCTATGAGGGTGTTACACATTGCGGCCCCAATCCCCATACTGATGATGCTCATCATACATCGGATCGTCAGTCATATAGTATAGTATCAGTATTAGTATTAGTATAGTATAGTATAGTATAGTATAGTATAGTATAGTATAGATAGTATAGACAGTATAAGTATAGTCATAAACTTTTATTATTTAAAGAATTAAAGGACACAAACTCAAATATTATTAATGTTGCGGTGTGACCTTTTTAATTCGTGGAATCTCGTACCTCTTATAAAAGTTGTTTGCCCTTACCTCCTTTGGCAATTAATTTAAAATTAATCAAAATAGCAATGAGCCGCTGTTACGCCTCTGACATGGCCTTAGGTACATTGACTGCTAAGGGTAATCAACCCATGATGCACCATAACTGCTGATGCGTTGTTATGAACCGTTTTAAATTTTTGTGTTTTCCACAATTCTTATAAAACAATGCATTTGTTACATTTTACAATAAAGATTTATCTTTTATGAAACTATTATTATAAACTCTTTTGAATTTAATTTTTATTTTAAATTAATTTTAAATACAAGCTCAGATTTAATAATTGACATTAAGTTTAACAAATGGGGTCTACTTACGTTTAAGCATTTTAGATTTTGCAGTAAACAAACATGGCAGCTCTGCAAAAGATGGAAATGTTTCTCCTTTTGATGCTGATTACATGTCAAAATGCATACTCTTTTATGGATATTGATGAGCTTAAATCTGTTTATTATGGTCTGGATATCTTGAGTGAGCCAGTCGTCATAAATAAAGTAAGTTGTCAAATCTACTGTAACTAAACAGATTTACGAAAACTAGAACTACTAAGAAATGGCCAGGCTGGAGCTGCAGCTGAGTGTCAGTGTAGTGCAGTGACTGTTTTTGTGTGATCACCACGGGACGGTCACGGCAAGGATACATTTTAACTATTAAAATTGACCCTGGCACCTGGCTTTATACACGGCAGAGTGAGATTCATTATTAAGTTTAGGTTGTGGCTATTGGTAGCTTTTCTAGGTCTAGGCCGTCTAGGGAGCTATTTGACTATACTATCACTATAACTGAACTGTTTCAAACTATTTGACTATTTGTAGTAAAAACTACCAATAGTAATAGCTATTACAAATACTAAACAAATTTTGGATGATACATCACACCCTCTTCATCACAGATACTTAGGATCGGCCCGTTCGGGACAAATTCTTTCTCTCAGGGCGAGGACAGAAAAATATTTACCCAGAAGTGCATTGACAGGTTGGAGGCGGTCCAGCAACGAGCAGCACGCTTTGTCCTAAACGGCTACAGGAATACATCCATTGCTGACAGCATGCTGGAAACACTAGGCTGGTCACCATTGGAGGAACGACGACGACAATCCAGGCTCTCCATGATGTACAAGATAAATAATGGGCTGGTCCACTATTCCAGTATTAAACAGAAACTCATCCTTCTCCCCCATAGACAGCGACGAGGCCATGACAGGCAATTCAGGCTCATACCAGCAAGAAGCCAGTATAGGAGCTGGTCATTCCTGCCTAAGACAATCAGGGACTGGAAAATCTTTTAAAAGGAACGGTTGAGGCACAACACTAGACACATTTGTGTCTATTGCCTCAAGCCTTCAAACCCCAAGTGCTTGATTCCCTCACAAAGTGGCACTGGAAATTTGTGAAATTTCCTCATCAACACCAGGCACAGAGACACGAAAAATCACATCTACATGCATAGGAGCCAAAATAATCAATAAATTTATCGTGGGCCCTTAAGATATAGAAGAAGAAGAAGATGTGCATTTCCTTGACCTCGGCTGCTTTGCCTTTCATAAAATAGGTTTTGAAGAGTTAGGCTTATGATGTGAAATCCTTAGTTCTTTAATTTAAAAAGAAAAGAATTTTTCAGTTTAACTAGGTGTCAAAAATTACAGGATCTCTCAATCACATTGTTTAAAACATTTTTGAAAATTTAATAGTCACTTAAAATTAAAGATAAAGCATGACTGATGGAAGCTTGTACACGTTAACGCTCATTATGCCGGTACAATGTTTGCTAAACTCACAGTTGTTGCACCATATGAAGTGTGCTTTAGTTTATTGCATATCTTAAATAAGTTCTCCTTAATCACTGTTTCAAAATTTTACACTGAGTTCTTTCTGAAGTAAAAATTACAAAACATCTTTTACTTAAAAGTCTTTTTTTATTATGTAGGATGTACCAGTTGGAGCTGTTCACGTGACATCAAAATATGGCCAGCAGTATCAGTGTACATTTCCAGACCACAGCACTGCTGAGAGAAAGAAAGAACAAGAAGAAAAAATAGCCATTGAAACTGGGATAGTTGATATGTTAAAGCCAATCGGACTTAAAGATTGTCTTTTTAAAGTAGGTTGGATATTATTTTCAGAATTTTAAAGCCCTTGTTTCTTTGGAGCGGCATGTAAAATTTTATTTTAAAACCCAGGAATATTCTCAAACTTCTACAAATCCCTCCCCCACTCCACACCATGAGCAAATTAATATATTTAATTTTAATTATTATTCATTTATTTATAAAAAATTCTGTGTCATTATAAACATAATATAATCTTATATTGTATGCTTCTAGTCAAAAGATTGGTGGAGCTATGAATTTTGTTATGGGAAGTACATCAGGCAGTTTCACATGGAAGGTAAAAATCAGTTTTCCACAGTTTCGTACACTAAATATTAATTAGTCATAATCATGTGAAATGCTTACTTATATATTTTGGTAGGTCTAAACTTAGTCTCTAATATTTTTCAATGTGTTGACATTTAGCTGTTCCTCCCATAATTTTCATTCATACAAAAATGCTTTGGTAAAACATTCTGCTTCGTTTGTGGATCCACAGATGGTGAAATTAAAGGAAATATCATTTACTTGGGTTATTATGAAAGTGATTTTGACTGGACTAATGCAACTGCCAGGGTATGTTGCAGGATAAAGTCTAAAATGTTTGATATTGCTTTGAATTGATTTAAAACTTGGTGTCATATTAATTTGTGATGGAGTGAAGGAATTGAGTGCTGAGTACTTTTGTATTAAACCAATCATTATTTTAACATTAACATAGCTGTTTTTTTTAAATCTTCCTTGTGTTGTTTTTTTTTTATAATTTACTTAACTTGGATTAATGATTTAGAATGAGTTTTGCTACCAAGATAAATCCAACTTAATTGCAGTATTCATTATTTCCAGGAAGACCGGTTGAAGAGCAAAACCACCCTCAATCGGTATCATTCTCAGCTCTATACACTGGGCACAAAATGTGACCTCACCAGTCAAATGAGGAAAGCAGAAGTCAGGGTTAGACTAAAAAAATTTACATTTGTTATTGCTCATCTTTATTTTTCCTCTGGTTCATAAAACAAATTTATTTTAAAACCACTTTAATAATAATAATAATAATAATACAGCTAGTGCTCGACTTACAACAACGATCGGATCAGACGGACCAGTCTTAATACGATTTGGTCGTAAGTTGAGTACGCTATGTGTACAGTAATGTGAAGTGATGTTATAAAAATATTTAAGTTAAATTATTTCATAAATTTCTTTTATTATTGTTATAAATCATAATTTTTGAAGTTAATTTTATGCCATCATCTCTAAACCATTTTGTTTCTTATTTTTACATCATCAGGTTTAAGAAAAACACTGCATTAACTGTGCATGTACAACCGGTTTAATATTTGCAAAACATACAAAATAAAGGTGTGGAAAATACTATAGGAACATTTTCCTAATCGCAAAACACATCAAACTGCCATTAACATCAAAATATATAAACATGTACGAAACATTTTATTGGCCACTGGTGCTTGGCTGCAGATCATTAATGTTGTCATCTGAGGCAGCAGTTGGGGCAGAAATAAATCTTAAATCTAATATGACTAGTGATTGTGGTCATAAAGTCGAATGTTCGTAAGTTGCATAGGTCATAAATCGAGCACTAGCTGTAATATTAATGGGCATAAGATTTGATTAAGCTTACCAGATCCTTTAATTTATTTATCATCGTGAATACTTATGAAAAAGGGGGAAGGAATTTGTCAAAATTCAACCATTTTTATTGTCTGTTTTTTTGTTTCTTGTGCTTCATTGATTAAGGTTTTGTTTTTTTTTTGACACTTTTTTTTACCTTCTGATCAATCTCTCTACCCTGTTGAAAATTAAATGGAGTAGTACTGTGTTTAAGTAACTTACAAAATTAAATATAAAGCACAAGGTTTTGTGTACCATGAATTTGAACAAAAGAATGAGGATAAGTCTGCTTAAGCAAGCTTAAGACAAAGGTTAAAGAATGTGAATTGAAAGAAAATCTATAATTGGGGAGGTAGAAATTATCAACAACAAAAAAGAAGCAAAGTAAATGTTATTCTGCACTAAAGTTTATTATTCTTGAGGCATGTTAGTTATTTAACTGGATAATGCAAGCATTGGTTGTGTGAACAAATGTCCTGAAGATATATATGTCTTTGTGCAGCTATATTTCTTCTGTGTTCTCATTTATTAAGTTGTGGGTGCACAACTACGAGGAAGTTCCAGTAAGGTGCCAATAAAATATTACATTTTAAAATTTTGTTTTATGTAACAGTGTGTTTTCTTGGTAATGGCCACACAAAATTTTCTTTTAATTGAAGCAACCCTGAACATGATGATCTTTTTTATTCTCTCATTATGTAGTTTGTGTGTGAAGAGAACTCTGAGGACTATTTGTCTCGTGTTGATGAATCAGAGACCTGTGTGTACACCGTCACTGTCATGACGTCCAGGATCTGCCGACACCCCTATCTTAAAGCACCCATCAAAAGGAAACCTGTGCCCATCACATGCAATCCCTTGTTGAGTGAAGATCAGTACCAGGATTATGTTGCAGAAAAGGAAGGTAAGATTAGAGCTAACTAATTTACTTTAAAAATTATGCTACTATTTTAATTATACTCGATAATTAGAAATGTCTTGTTATTCCATTTTGAATGTTTAAAGTAATTATCTATTTGATTTTTTTTAGTGGACATTAACAGTTTAGATGATACCCAGTATTCAAGTCTCACAGCTTAATTAGCTGATAGGCTAATACATTTTATTTCAAATTTCCTTCTCATAGTTATTATTTTATACATTTTGCAAAATTACTTTTTTACATTGCAAGTTGGTTGAAATTAAAAAATCATTTCATTTTGCAAAATTTTAAATAAATAATTAGGTATAGAGGTTAATTTTTTTCAATTTCAGAGGAAAAAATGGAAGAAGAAAGGAGAGCCGCAGAAGCCAAAACTGCACTTCAAAGAGAAGGTACTGAATGCAACTTGTGATTATAAATGTTTAAACCATCTTTGTTTTCTACTATGTCGAATACCAAAGAAACCCTTTTCTTCTTGTCACTTTAACATGATTAAAATAAAGTTATTGATTCATTTTTTGTGCTGTCAATAGTTGATTTTATTTTTATTTCATTGTTTCACTGTTTATTATAAAATGAAGACATACAAGTTTAATAAATAAATTTGTAAATATAAATGGTAACTTTATCATTTAAATCCTGTGCTTTGTGAAGTAACTTATGTTAATTGCCAGAAAAGCTTGCCATTATTTTAAAAATATTTCATTCCCACAGATGAGTTATCTCCTGCTGACTTGGAGACTGAACTGAAAGAAACTTTAGCCAATGAGTTGTCTATGGCTGCCAAGGAACTGTTGGGTAAAGCTTAAGATTGTTTTAACTGAAATGAGTATTATTTTCTTTTTTGAAAAAAAAAATTCTTGAGAAACTGATGAGAAATTTTTTCCTTTGACTTTTAGTTTAAATATTTTTTAAAGTTGAAACATTTAAGCCATATTTCTAGATTCTATTACACGCATATAAATATTTAAGTTATTTTTTTTTTAAATTTAAATCTTAAATCTAGTCTTCTGTAAATTTTATTATTAACTGTTATTGTTTTAGCTGCTTCTGCAAAGAGAGATGCATCATTTCCAACTGGAGACAGCAAGGCTATGAGCAAGGGGGAGTTTGAGAAAATATTTGGGTGGGTTGAATTATACATTGATTAAGACTTTTAAATTCTTATTTCTGAGCAGTATATAAATTTTATGTGTCATGCTTTGTACTGTGCATTAGGTGATATACAGTAATCAAGTTTATGCAGTCCTAAACTATAGCAAGAGTTTTTGATAAAATCATCAACCTTTAAAATCAATCACTAATCTAACTCATACCATCTGTCTTGGCTGAGTCAAGTCACTTTTTAAAAAAATGAGTTGCTACTATTTGGAATAGAGCAGATCGCAATATTGAACTCTTCTGAAACAAAGTGTTAGCTAGCTAGCCATGACTATTTAAGGAAGAGTGTTAGGTGGCCTACCTGAGTTGCTTTTCTTTCAAGATGGATTTTTATTAAAAATTTGTTTAAGTTAAGTGCGAGCACTACAAGATTGCTTGTTTGCTGGCTTAGTAGGGATAAAATAAATTTGAGGAATTCTGAGTTGTTGTTTTTTACATCAAAACATTTCATTTTTAGAGTTCTCAATATATTAACTATGTCTGAAATGAATTGTGATATGTTATCAAATTCATTACATGCTTTAGAATGCCGGTTTTAAATGCTTAAAAAAGCTCTCTCTTCCCCACCTCCTATCGTGAGCCAATATTAAATACCACTATTTAAACCTTGGTTGTTGAACATTTCAACTGGTGACAGCCATGAAGAACAAAGACTGTTTACTTTATTTTTATCCTGCCACTTGATTTCCTTTTATCAAAATTTGCTTTTGTCCCCATTTCGAGCAATGAGCCTTTAATGCAGTGTATATTTTCGTATTATTTGATCTTCAGTACCGATGATACCCTTTGGCAGCTCTACCAGCGTGGGTTGGACATTACCAAAAAGCAGAATGAATTCAAGGAACTTGCTGCAATTGACAAACTGAAAGCCAATCAGAAAGGAGAGACGCAAGAAGATCAACAAAGACTGTTTACTTTATTTTTATCCTGCCACTTGATTTCCTTTTATCAAAATTTGCTTTTGTCCCCATTTCGAGCAATGAGCCTTTAATGCAGTGTATATTTTCGTATTATTTGATCTTCAGTACCGATGATACCCTTTGGCAGCTCTACCAGCGTGGGTTGGACATTACCAAAAAGCAGAATGAATTCAAGGAACTTGCTGCAATTGACAAACTGAAAGCCAATCAGAAAGGAGAGACGCAAGAAGATCAGAAAGTAGAACAGGAAGAGGCTGCAGATGAAGATGAAGAAGTTCTTGAAGAATTTAAGTCTGGTAATAATCATTCCAATTTCACTACATAAAGTTGTTGCTTTTGAAACATATAGTTTTTTTTAAATTAAAACTGATATATTCGCTTTTTGACTTAAAAGTTTTGTAAAGATTATCTGGTATTTGTTAATGGATTTACATTTATTTTTAGTTAATAAATCAAATTGTATGTTGACATTCCCAACACCTATAAATATAATAATTTAATTTGTTAAATATTAATTTATCTCTACTTTGCTTAACTCATATTTCCTCTGGCAGTTCTACTTCCGTACTTAATTAATTTTCATGAGAAAAGGGAAGCAACTCAGTTTTGAAATCGATTTACATTTTTAAAATATTCTTTTAAGCTGCTAAATATTAATAAATTTTAATGAATTAAGGACGAATGCATAAAAAAATGAATAAGGTTTAATAAAAAATATAACATAAAGGACAATAGCCAAAAGTCTCGAGGGAGCGAGATTTCATTGCCATTTTTAACTAAAACCTAGAGAGGTGTGTCAAAACCCCCAAAGGACTCATTTAGACGCAACTGCCTGGAATGAGTTAACTACACCAGGAACATCAGGAATATAGTGATTGTCACCAAAAATAGTCAGATTCAGACTTGAAGTAATTTTGTTTAACATTGATCAATCATTTTTTTAGAAATCAATGCCATCAAGGCCAGTTTCCAGACATCCCAGAATCAGCTGTCCAACATCAAGAGAAAGCTCATACTTGAAAGGCAGTGGGAGACAGAAATTGAGAATGCCATCAAAGAGGTATACCAAGAACTTGTCAAATATTACGTTAAGTTAAACTTTCTAATCATTTTGAAGAGTTATATTTCCATTGTGACCAGCAAAATGTTTCATAATGCTATTTAAGATATAGCATCAAAGGGGGTAAGGGCTATGACATCACTAGGTGGGGGGGGGGGAGCGCACCCAGTTACAGCATCACAGGGCAGGGACCCCCCCAAATGACTATTTTGCCAACTGATCAGGGTACCAAATTAGCAAGATTCCACACGAGTGGAGAGGGGGTGAATAATATGGTAGGTTACCCATCAAGAGTAGCCGGAATCAATTTGCAAAAAGAAAATAAATAAGAGTGTATGATCGCTTTCAATCTGAACTCCAGATCAGACCAAGGGTCATCAAGGAAATAGCAAACAATTATGTTTGAGGCTATTCAAGCTAAGCCTCTACTATTGGCAACTAAAGAAATTGTATTGTGTACAATCCCAAACTGACCACATTCTATGAGTTATCTGAGTGCCAACTTTTAACTGAAATACCAAGGCGCTGAGGCAATTAAAAGCTGCAGATACCGTATCAATCTTGTAGAAAGCCAGGGATTGGTCACTCTTTGGAGTTTTTAAGAGCAAAGCTGCTTGGTATATCTTTGAATCCCTCTCATCAAGCCTATGATTATTTCTTACCTCTGTGTCTCTTTTGCTTCATATGAGAGGAGCTTTTCAAAACTGAAACTTATATAGACACAGAACAGTCCACGCTTTCTGATCTTGCAGTTTTGTCAATTGAAAATGATGTAAAGGATGTTGATTTTGATGAAGTTACTGACATGTTTGATGAAGTGATTGACGTGTTTGATGGGTGATTGACATGTTTGATGACTGATTGACATGTTTGATGAGTGATTGACATGTTTGCATCTCTGAAGACCAGGAAAGATAAATTTCAACGGTTAAGTTCAATGTTTCAATTAAAAGTAATTTTTTTTCTTTTTTAAAACTTTGTTACCGTACCTAAAATTATATGTTTCTTTCTTAGGTTTATTGTTCATGGTACTGTGTTATCTGACTCAGAATTAAAGCTTTTTAAAAGTTGTTTAAGGTTCCCTAGTTTTTGCGAATTCATAGGTTTTGCCAGAATATTGTTTCCTAATTACAATAATGTCCTAGTGATACACTGTCAATGTCTGTCATTTTTATGTTGAGCTGTTCTTGCTGTGCAGAAAAGCATCGATGGCAAAATTTCTAGTAGGTCCACTGAAGCAGTGTGAGTTTTCTGAAATTAGCTAAAGCCATATTATTTCTTCAAGGCTGAGCAAGAGTTGGGTGTCAAGGTTGATAGGAGTCTCATCTCAGGATTGTCGAACACTTTAGACAAACTGGCCAGCAAGATTCACAACACTGAAGCAGGTGAGCAAAAAAAATCTGTTGATCTTAAGGTGTTTTTACTTCCTGTCTCTGTCAGTGAACTTGAGATATTCTATTCCATGTTTGGGTCAGTGAACTTGAGATATTCTATTCCATGTTTGGGTCCGTGTACTTGAGATGTTTTAATTTCCTCACTCTCAATTTTTTTTTCTACTTTTAACAAATTCTGTTATGTTATCAAAATTACAGTTTCACTCCATTGGCCAGCTGAATTCTCGTGTGATTTTCCTATTTAAATGCGCACAAAGTTACAATTTATTGCATTTATCTGTTCTTGTAACAGAAATAAAAACAATGGATAAAGAAATTGAAAGATTAAAACCAGGTGCTGAAAATGGGGGAGACAAAGATTTAGAGGATAAAGAGGGCAAGGTAGAGACTGTAGACCAGGAAGATGATGCCAGTGATGGAGTCATTGAGGAAGAATTGGATGAGGCAGATGAAGGTAAATTTATTAATATGTAATGTTGCTGCTCCTTGGCATGATGATACTGTTTGTCACTTATTTAGTGCTGTAATGGAAAAAATAAATATGTTTACAAAGTACCATAGCTAATTAGTGCACACACAAATGTAAGGTTTTAAAACTCACTTGCAATATGATCATTCATTGAATTAAGGTACTCAGTTTGATGTTTTGTTGAATTAAAACTCTTTGGGCCAGATTTTTTTAATTGTTTTTTTCCACCAGACAGCTATTGCACTTGGCCCTTTTTCAGCTTATTCTAGTCTTTAATTGTGGCCAATATTTTTTTTTAAATTTATCACATCTCTGCCCTTACCCAATGTATAATCACCTTGATAGAGATATTTGTAAGTATTAATTGTAACCATAATGGCATTTGATTAACATGATAAACATTTCAGGATTGCCACAAGACCTTTCAATGAAAGAAGAGAAAAGTAGCACTGCGGATCTTGATGAAAAAGTTTTGGCTCCACCCAAAGTAGGGGCAAAACCAGCTGGTGAGTTTTAGCACCAAGCAGTGATTCTCATGTTAAGGTATTGGGATGATTAGTATTACTCTTGACTCCTGTGGGGGTTGCAAGTGAAATTATTTTTTTTTTAATAATGTGTTCTTATACTTAATAAGTAGCTTTGCTAAAATTGGTTATATGCCAATGGTGTTAAGTTTCTCTCTCTAACGTAGTTTTTGTTTATGTATTAACAAATTTATTTAGAAAAGTTGTTCCTTCAGTTATCATTTGAGGAAACCATTGACTTAAATTTATCCCAATAACTTCCCAGGTTCCAAGGACTTGACACAAGATGTCAGTGAATCTAGTGAACCCAGCCCAGATGCCCCTGTGGAGGAGCACTCTAAAGATGTCCTCAAATTTACCTCAGAAAGAGAAGAGCATGAAAACGATGGTGAGGATGACATCCAGGTCACCCTACAGAAAGTGGAAGATGATGATATTAAGTTACCAAAAGATGTTCAAAAACTGCTGGAGGAGAGTGTGAAGAATGAGTTTCAGAAATACAGAATGCAATCTGGTAGGTTCATTATCAGGTAGCTTCATTTCATTATCAGGTAAATCCTGATCAGGTAGCTTGTAAAGTTGTAACCAGGAAGGTTCAAGTTGGGAAGATTCTGGCCATGTAGGTTTTTGTAACATGTTTTGACCAGTGCTTTGGTCAGACTAATATTGATAATGTTTTTACTGGCAGTCACTCGGCCACAAGCAAGAACTTTTTCTCAAGAGTGTGATCATAACCTCTCCCAAAGTTCTTACCCTCTCCCATAGGATAATAGTCTCTCCCATTGGATAATAGCATCTCTGATAGGATCTTACCCTCTCCCATAGGATGATAGCCCCTCCCATATGATCATAGACTCTCCCATATGATCATAGCCTCTCCCATAGGATGATAGCCCCTCCCATATGATCATAGACTCTCCCATATAATCATAGCCTGTCCCATAGGATCTTAGCCCCTCCCATATGATCATAGACTCTCCCATATCTGAAACATAGTTTTTCCTCCAGTTAAAAAAAATGTCATAAAATGATGTTTATATATTGGCCAAATATTGATGAGACTTTACAAAAAACTTTCAGCAGAAACAAGACCGCTGAGGTTGGATACTGACCACTCCTTCACTAGAGAGAAGACTGTTCATGTGATACAACAGGAGGATGAGGATGGGAAAACCAACCGGTTTATATTTGTTTTTGTGAGTGTTGACAGATTCATTGATAACGCTTAGAGTTAACAGCATTTAAAAAATCGTTATGATGGTAAATTTGAACAAAATCTGACAACCTACATTACAATAAACTTGAGGAACAAACTATTTTTTTCCAAGTTAAAGGGAATTATTTCAGATATATTTAAAATATCCACCATTTCTCTCTCTCTCTCTCCTCTCCTCCCCCCTCCCCCACCCAGTGATTCTTGTTAAACCTTTTTACACACTTTTCCATTCCATCAAATGGAAGAAACCTTAATCCTTTTTTCATTTAAAGCTTTTGAGCTAAAGTCATAAACAATACTTAACCCATGAACTTTGCTTGTTATTATTCTGTACTGTGCAGGCAATTCAGAGCTTTTTGAGTGCCTTTGAAAAATGTGATTTTTTCCATACAAATACTATAGCTAGACCCCATAAAGTATTTATTTATTGAAATTAGACAGAGTGGGGAATCATACTTGGCTATTTTGTTAATGCTATTTTACTATTTTATACTCTGTGACCTTGACCTTTGAGTGGCCAAGAATAATAGAAAATAATGAAATATTTTCTTTTTAAGTACCGTACCTCAAACTACAATTTTTTGAAGGCATATTATTATAATGTTTATATAATATGGCAACATTTTTATTTATCTTTTAGAAAATGTATTATTTGCATAAGTTTTAGTTATTAATAGATTTTTTTAAAAAATTATTCTGATCGCTATAATTACGTTCAAGTAACAAAGCATGACATAAACAATATAAACATTACTAAATAGCAAGAAACAGATAGAATTTAAAAAGCTGCTATATAAATATTTAATCCATAAAATGAAATATAAGAAAATATATACAGAACAATATTCAATTATTTTTTGTTTGTACGTTTTCGCTTCATAAGGCCTTGATTAGTGACATGTTCAAGTTGAGTCCTGTTGCTGTGGCAATGCCTGCTTGATCTAGGCCTAGGTCTAATTCGTCCAAATCCGAACTTTCACTTTTTGATCCACTAGAAAAATAATAGGAATTTTCATTGTCTTTGTGTGTCTATGGAAAATCATCTTCCGAATCACTTAAGTCATTAACTAAAATGTTATCAAAAAGATTCCTAACTGATTTATTTTGTAAGCCAGATGGTGCAGCTATGGCCTCATTCATTTTGCAAAAATCTACGAACACAAATTTGCTTGATAAAGATCGTTGTAAAAATAACTCCAAAGTTTAAAAAAGGACACAGACGACCAAAAAAGGAAGCTCATTTATTAATAAAAGGAAGTAGTTTTATTTAGTGTAAAATATTGGACTGGAAGTTTTTCTTTCAACGCAGTTTTTATTGACCAACACAGTACAGGAAGAGAAAATCTGCCGATTTAATCAACCGACCATTGGCCAATTTAATCAACCGACCATTGGCCGACCACAGTTTGTGGGTTAAAGTTTCAGATTTAACCACCCTATTTTTTTTTAGCTGTTTGCACTTCCAAAAAATCCAGTCCATGAAAAAATCCATCCTGTAGACAGAAAACCATCAATAATTTAAAAACTAATGTTCTGAAAATCTTGGTTTTGTAGTCAAAGGTAAATTAAAAGAAAGTAGATTTGAACCATGAAACTTTTAAGACATTTTTTAAATTCTTATTTAGCTCAAGTTCATAAAATGAAATAACACAGCTTCAGCTCAGTTTCTTTTATGACACAAATGATGCGAACCTGCTTTAACAACTCAGTAATGGCGATCCACCTGAAGTAGAAGTTTGTTATTAATTCATTAATTGCAATAAAAATATAGAAAGACTTTAAATGAATCAAAATAAAGACCTGATATCCCAAAGCTGTTATTTCAGTCTTCTGGCCAAAAATTTCATCCGTTAGTTCAGTCCTCTGACCATACGTTTCATACCCCAAAGCTGTTATTTAGGCCCTCCAACCATGCATTTATATCTCATAGCTGCTATTTCAACCCTCTGACCATGCATGCCAGTTTTGAAAGCCGTAAATACAATGGGTAAAGAGGTAAAAATGTTTGTCTTGAGGAACCTATCATAGAACAGGCCTGCACAACTAAAAATTTAAGGTGGGCCATATTACTTTAAGAAAAGCTTGTGCGGGCCAAAGAAAATAGGACAGGACGTGTGAGGGCCAAAAGAAAATAGGTCGGGGGAAGCTATTAATAAAATAATAAGAATAAAAAATATTTACTTCGCGGGCCACAAAGTGGGTGCTGGTGGGCCGCATGAGGCCCATGGGCCATATGTTGTGCAGGCCTGCTATAGAGTGTGGTAAGCTACATTCACAGTAGATGTAAAAAGTGTTTATAAAACTGGTTATGCTCGACTACAGGTGTTTGTTTTTCTCTTTCAGGGATTCAATTCATTTGGCGATGAAAATGCAGAGCAAGATCGTCAGTCTGCATTGGAGGAAAATTATGGCTTTGTTTATAAAGGGAAGAAAAGTAAAAAGAATATTGATATTAGAAGTTAACTGATATAACTAGTGTATCCTTATCAGTTGAATTTTCCCTGCAAGAAATAATGTAGTGAATCTATGAGTATCAATAACTACTTTAATGATTTAATTGACAAATCGAGATCTTTGCTGCCAGCTCGGTTTTAGTTCTTTTTTCTATTTTTTTTTAAATTCTTCTCTATGCCTGTATGCAATAAGTAGAGACATTGTTTGAAATAAACAACAAAATATGAGCTCTCATTTTAGCTTTCAGGAGTGTATGCTAATGTTTCTTACATATCATTGTTTGATTTTTTATCATTACGTTCTGCTGTGAGAGGCTGGATAGATAGCTTTGACACTAGTTGTTTTTTGGTTTTTTTTGGTGTTTTTTTTAAATTTTTTAAGATTTCAGTTTATTTTAATGAGGCTAATCAAAGTCAAATGTTTCTCAATCCTTTGTAATTATATTGTAGTACACAGGAGAGAACAGACAATATGTTTAAAAGGAGCATAGGGAATATCTGATGTAAGATTTTGAAATTGTTTTCAATTTTTTCCTTCACCTTCTTCTGTTTGTTTTGTTTGACTTCTTTTAGAGAGTAGAATTTTTATCACGCATTTTCTAGATAATTTTAATATATGTGAAAATTTGAAGTTAAGAGAATCATTTCTTACTCTCATATTTTGATTTAAATATTACTTGAGCAATAACGAGTAAATACTATCAGTTTCAGTTAAGCATGATTTTTTGGACTTCTCCAAGTGTTTTAAACCAAATTTGCCACATGACAGAATGTTGAACCCTAGTAAACAGCTCCCAGTAGGGGGGCTGTATTATTAAAATGGGGAATTTTTGTGCTCTAACGTTGACATTTTTTTTTTTATCAACAAAAGCTAGAACCAGAAAAATATAAATTTTAATTTTTGGTTATATTTGTGTTCATTTAACATCAGAATAAAAGAAATCCCAATTTAATGTGGCAATAAACAAAAATGTACAACTACTGTTAATAATAAAAATGTGCTTGTCAGTTATGCATTTATCTTAACAAAGTTACTCATCATAAGATTTTCAAACTGAGTACAATAATTCCTCGGCCGGCCAAAACTGTGCACAATTTTGTTCAATCGTGATTTTTTTTTTTATTTGATTAAAGTTTATGCTGCTTTTAGATGTTGTAAGATGAGCTTGAGATTAGAGAGAAAGAAAAAAAAGTTCCATTCAGAAGGTTATGTTTATTTCTGCACTTTTAAGTGTCAAAGATAACGTTTATCACACAAAATTGTTTTTATTTGAATGGATATTCCTGCACCAAAAAGAAATATGGACTCAATGTAGAAACTAACTGCCTTTCAGTTGCTGGCTTGCAACCATCACAGTGAATATATAATGGAGGGACTGTAAGCAGCTACTCTGATGTACATAGTTGCACTGATTGTGCAAGCATTATTTATTTACTCTTCTTTGCCATACTTTTAAGTGAGGTATTGGTTTTTCTCTCTCTCTCTCTATATCAGTAATACTTGTCTCTCTCTATATCAGTAGTACTTGTTTCTCTCTAAATCAGTAGTACTTGTTTCTCTCTATATCAGTAATACTTGTCTCTCTCTATTCCCTCCCCATCTTTGTTTTTGTTTTTTTAAAGACCTTCAAAGGTCTTTCTTTTTTTCTCTCTCTCTTCCTACCGTTATTAACAAAATGAATGAAAATCAAAAATGTAATTGTAAAATGTTTAGCTTTTGTCTTTCAATGGGAACATGTTATTTTCAATCATTAAAAAGGTAAATTAGCAAGGTCCACTTGTTTGGTGTTATTCAGGACAAGAGCACCACATTAAGTACTAAGGATGCACTTTAAACCCTTAACTGTGCTGTCTTGTGAATACAAACAGCAAATGAGAAAAGTCCCATTACACATAATTCAAGATTTTTTAAAGTATTTAAGTTAAAGGATATGCTTGGTCAATCTGGTCATTAATATGTAATAGCTTATTACATATATTGAGAAGAGGGACTGAAATGTAATAAAATGTCCCTGCAAGGAAGACCTTGTTCCAAAGTCTGGGGTTAATTAATTGTATCGTCTTTACACAAAAATCTTCTTTTTTTTGTGTAAAGACGATACAATTAATTAACCCCAGACTTTGGAACAAGGTCTGGGGTTAATTAATTGTATCGTCTTTATTTTTTTAAAAAAAATTTTTTTTTTTTTTTTTTTTTTTTTTTTTTGCCATTCAAATTTAATTTTTGTTTAAATAATTATATTTAAAGCTTGTGAACATGCAAATTACATTGCAACTGATATTGAGATTTTCAAAATCTGTTTGTTGTTTTATGTTTGTTAACATTTGGTCAATTCAGATGGACGAAATCTTGTTTTCATTTTCCATGTCGCATTCCAATGCCTGTAGCAAATAAACCATTTTATATCATTTTGATCAGCTCAGCAAGTCATTTCTTTCAGATATGTTATTGGAATTAAGAAAATATTTTTCAATAAGCCTGTTCCTCAACAATTAGAATCAATCTAATGAACTTGTGCCCCTTAAGGTTATTTTGTTTCACTTGATTCTAAATCTAGTCATTGTATTGGCTTAATTATTATGAGCCTATCACCGTTTAATGGTTGGAAATGAAGAAAAAAATTAATTTTCATTCAAGAAGCAAATGAAATCATTCAATTAACTTTTTGTTATCACAACCTTTCGTGACAAATCATTTTATTTGATTTTTGATATTCTTTAATTTTAAAAAAAAACTATTTTCAATTAAATAAACAAATTGAAATTGTATAGCTAAAGCTGAGGAAGCTTTGTTGCAAAATGGATTTGTAAATATATGAGCATGCTTTATTTGACATTAGTTGGCTTATGGGTACTACAATGGTGATATATCGACTGGCTCTTATTGGCACTACATGTAAATTATACACATTATACCTGTGTGTGTGAAAGTGATGAGTGGTGCATAGTACTACTGTATGCTGACTTGTAATGTGAGCTGAAACTAAGGACAATTTGTACTGATCTGTTTCTAACATTAAACAGCATTGACTGTTTCAAATAACCAACAGTCATAAAAGTGAACGATTTAATATGCCATTGCCAAGCACAGTGATGGGTGTTGTATAGCAGTGTCTAGTTTAAGAACACCCTGGCACTGGGAACTTAGGGTACTCCATTCCATTGCAGTGACGAATGGGCACTGCATACAGCTCAAAGCACCATAACTACTGGTAGGTATGGTGATGTCCAATGCTGTTACAAATAGCTAAGAAATATGTTTTGTGACCTTTATATTATGTTCTGAAATACTGTATCCACAACACAAGGAAAATATTTCTATATTTTGGTAACAAGATGTCCCGCTAAAATTTAAAAATAAACTCGGCAGAAATTGTTTCAAAATTTTTTACATTTTATGGTCACAAATTTTGGCTGGATAGAAAAAAAAAAAAGAGGAACTAATCAATCTGTTAAGTATAAATAGGGCATTCTGATTCTGAAATCAGATTTAAAGGAATTAAAATCCTTTTAAATGTCTAAGATACTTTAAGTTGATCTTAATTCAAAATATTTTTGCTTTGTTTTTAAGTATTAGTATGTACTTGAGTATGGTAGTGTGTTGTGTATTGTTTAAAATAAACTGGGAAAATGAGAATGTGCAAAAAAAAAATTGTATTATTATTATTATAATTCGTTGTTTTTTTTCTTTCCTTTTTTCAATTAAAACTTTTGATTAAGACCAATTAAAATCTTATTTTTCTATATTTTGAGGGCACACGATCAACGTATTGACCATTCTTAGCTCCTATGTTTGAGGAGGAGTACGCGATGTAACTGTTCATGGTTTTGAAAGGGATATTTGGCTGGTTGCTAGGGCTTCTCAGCAATGGTGCTATGAACTGGGGGGTGGAAAACAGGGGGCGATAGACGCAAATGTGTCCAAGTGTAATCGCCTCAACTGTTGCTTTTGTAAGCCTGTTCCAGTCCCTAATTGTCTTTGGCAGGAACGAGGAGCTCCTGTACCGAGTTCTTGTTATTATGAGCCGGAACTGCCTGTCATGGCTTCGTCGCTGTTCTATGGGGGAGAGGGACGAGTTTCTGTTTAAAGCTGGAGGATTGGACCAGCCCATTTTTCATCTTGTACATTTGTTTCGATTTTTAACTCTATTCCGTACTTCTGTATCAGCCTTGTAAATTAACGCACACAAAAAAAAAAAATCAGAAAAGTTCAGCTCGATTTTAATAAACTTTTAATAAGTTTTTTTTTTTTTTTTTTAAATAAAAGAAATTATTACCTTTCCCTTTTTTTTTTTTTTTTTTCAATGAAAGGAAAGAAAATCGAGGTTACGAGAGCACCTCCCTCTTGGAAGAAAATAAAGTAGGCCTACAACTTTTTGAGTCGCCTTTATATGAACACCGCCGCAGCAGCAGCCATTGATAACTGTCATTATCACATTTCATCGGTTAAAGATAGACATTTATCATTACCGGTATGAAAAACTTGCTGGTGAATTAGCAGTCTAGGAAGAACAGGAGCATCTTACAAAAGCGAAAACGTTGGAATCATCTATGACTAAAATTGAAACTTTATACAATCATTAGCAATGGTGCGACACTTTTTTTTTATACAATCGAAACAAGCAGTGTGACACTTGGTTTCGTTCAACAGCCGACAGTGTCACACATTGCTTTGTAAAATCACAGCCAACAGTGTCACACATTGTTTTGTACAATCACAGCCAACAGTTTCACACATTGTTTTGTACAATCACAGCCAACAGTGTCACACATTGTTTTGTACAATCACAGCCAACAGTGTCACACATCGTTTTGTACAATCACAGCCAACAGTGTCACACATTGTTTTGTACAATCACAGCCAACAGTGTCACACATCGTTTTGTACAATCACAGCCAACAGTGTCACACATTGTTTTGTACAATCGCAGCCAACAGTGTCACACATCGTTTTGTACAATCACAGCCAACAGTGTCACACATTGTTTTGTACAATCGCAGCCAACAGTGTCACACATTGTTTTGTACAATCACAGCCAACAGTGTCACACATTGTTTTGTACAATCACAGCCAACAGTGTCACACATTGTTTTGTACAATCACAGCCAACAGTGTCACACATCGTTTTGTACAATCACAGCCAACAGTGTCACACATTGTTTTGTACAATCACAGCCAACAGTGTCACACATCGTTTTGTACAATCACAGCCAACAGTGTCACACATTGTTTTGTACAATCGCAGCCAACAGTGTCACACATCGTTTTGTACAATCACAGCCAACAGTGTCACACATTGTTTTGTACAATCACAGCCAACAGTGTCACACATTGTTTTGTACAATCACAGCCAACAGTGTCACACATTGTTTTGTACAATCACAGCCAACAGTGTCACACATTGTTTTGTACAATCACAACCTGGGGTGTAACAAATCAAACACGAGTTTATTAATTATTTTTTTTTAGAAAGTGTCAGTGGGGGGTGGGGTGTTTGACATGTCACATTAGCAAACTTCTAAAGGCCTAATTTATTGATGGTGTCAACTTTCGTGCTGACGACATCAAAGTCTTTACACCTGCCCTTGCTCAGATCATTACGCTGGAGAAAATCATGAAGGAAACGATAATTTTTTTTAAAAATTTTATTACGAAGCCCATGTTTCAGAACGTCCTACGCTTCCGGATTTTTATTTTATTTTTTTCCGTTAGGCTGGCAGGACTTTGATCTTGATTTCCTGGCAACCACAGCTATCGACCAGAGTTTTAACTTTAATCAGTTTGGAGACAGAGATAAAGACGTGAAGAAGAAAAAACTAGCATCGATTCTTTCAGTATAATCGCTACTACATTTTATTTATTTTTATATTTTGAAATCTTAAAACTCCCCTGAGGTGGTTAACTCCGATTTCATTGAATTTCACGGTATATTGTTTATTTACAGTGCGGACTTCTGGTCAGAGGCAGATCCGGAGGGAGGGGGGAGGGTTGCGATGGCTGCTAGCGTTCGCACTTCCACCAGAGGCGTAGCTAGAGTGTTTGGAGTGCCCAGGGACAGGATTTAGTTTGCACTCCACCCTTCAACTCAGAAGCCCATTTTTTTTTCATCAATAGAATGCTATAAAATCACCTTTTGACGCCATTATTCAGTCTGGCGCCCGGGGACAACTGTCCCCCCCCCCGCCCCATCTTCGCTACGCCACTGTTTTTCCACCACACCTACCCACCCATCTGCGGAAAGATCCAAGGGCCGCCAATGCATTCAGGACCTGAGTCCCCATAGGAAATAATAATTTGTGCCCAGGGACAGGATTTAGTTTGCACTCCACCCTTCAACTCAGAAGCCCATTTTTTTTCATCAATAGAATGCTATAAAATCACCTTTTGACGCCATTATTCAGTCTGGCGCCCGGGGACAACTGTCCCCCCCCCCCGCCCCATCTTCGCTACGCCACTGTTTTTCCACCACACCTAC